CGATAAGAAAGGAGAACAGTGTGGCATTGAGAAGTTTGTTAGACAGTACGCTAAAGCACACGAGGCCACTAGCCGCGTTAAAACGACCGATAGCCCATTGGGACGACTTATTGATATATATATTGGCGGGTAAACTAGATTACTTTACAATAAAAGAGTGGGAGAATAGTCTAGACAGTAAGCAAGTACCAAAATTTAACGAATTGATAGAATTCTTAACAAAGCGATGTGAAACATTAGAAGCCGTCGCGAGAAGGAGTCTATCTATAGAGTCATCTAGCAGGCCTCGCCAAACGACCAGTAAGACGACAAATGCACATGCAGCAGTAGCAAGCGTAAAATGTGCACATTGTAATGGCGACCATCAAATTTATCAGTGTAAAACGTTTAAAGAACTATCAATTACAGACCGTTTAAACAAGATAAGATCTCTAAAATTATGTCTCAATTGTTTGAAGGGCAAACATTTCGCTAGGGATTGTAACGCCGGCCACTGTAGAAAATGTATGAAAAAACACAGCACTTTGTTACACGATGATAACATGTCATCAAAGGGGAAGGAAGAAACGAGCGATCCAAATCCGAGTACGATTAATGAAGCCCATAAGAAGGAAGATACAATATGTACATACACACAATCAAAAAGGATACTTACCTCAACACAGGTATTGTTATCTACGGCAGTAGTATTAGTCAAAAATCGCGATGGACAATACATAGAGGGTAAAGCGTTACTTAACAACGGGTCTCAATCTAATTTTGTTACGGAAGAGTTCGTTAAAAAAGTAAACGTGAAAACAAGGGCAAATCATATAGAGATAAAAGGTATAAGTCAGCACATATCACATGCTATGAAATCAGCGCAATTACATGTAAGTTCGCGATTTAATACCTTCGGATTGGACATGCAATTCATATTATTGGAAAAGATTACACAAAATTTACCTACCATCGAAGTGAACGTAACAGATTTAGATATACCTAAAAATATTAAATTGGCAGATCCAAATTTTAACATCCCGAGTAAGATAGATATATTAATCGGTGCAGAGAGGTTTTGGGAGCTGGTTTGCGTGGGTCAAATAAGGCTAGGTAGAAACAAACCAATATTACAAAAATCATTACTAGGCTGGTTAGTATCAGGATCCATTAATATAGTCGAGTCAAAAAAACATTCACAAACAAGCTGTAATCTAAGTACATTAGAGGAACTATGTCAGACCGTCCAAAGGTTTTGGGAGGTAGAAAATTACGCGAACATTAAGAATAGTACTTCGGAAGAAAAGTATTGCGAAAGGTTATTCGAAACTAGTTACGTGCGGCAAAATGATGGTAGGTTCGTTGTCAAATTGCCAGTCAAAAAAAAAATATTGCCATTGTTGAATGGTTCAAGGGAGGTAGCTTTGAAGAGATTCTTAGCATTAGAACGAAAATTTAGTTACAATCCTGAATTGAGAGGGGATTATATCACGTTTATGAAAGTATATCAGCAGTTAGGACATATGAGTCGAATAGAGAAAGAGAAAGATAATAACTTTCGGATATACTTGCCATACCAAGTCGTAATAAAAGAAACCAGTGTCACGACTAAAACTAGAGTAGTTTTTGACGCGTCGAGTCAGTATGTCAAGGGGAAAACTTTAAATGACGCTCTATATAAAGGCCCCACAATACAAGCAGATTTATTTGCCTTAATAATACAATTCCGAGGCTATAAATACGTGTTATGTGAAGATGTGGAAAAAATGTACAGACAAATATTAGTTGACAAAGAGCAACGGTCGCTGCAAAGTATATTGTGGCGGGAAGATCCGAAAGACGAGTTGCATGAATTCGAATTGAACACCGTGACCTACGGTACGAAACCCGCGTCATTTTTAGCCGTAAGGTGTCTGCACCAGTTAGCGGAAGTCGAAAAAGTAAACTACCCTAGGGCAGCTGAAGTATTGTGTAACAATTTTTATATGGATGACCTCTTAACGGGAAGTAACACAAGTGCGGAAATCTTACTCTTGAAAGAGGAATTAATAGAATTGCTAGGTAAAGGAGGATTCAAATTGCACAAATGGAGGAGTAACGTAGAGACGGTTAAGGAAAATAAGCAGTTTAAAAATGAAAGCTTAGATATTACTAAGGAAAAAGAGTCAAGATTACTAGGGGTATTATGGAACCCACATAAAGATATATTTCAATATGAAGTAGACATAAGGGAGACAGATCAACGTGTAACAAAGAGGAAAGTGTTATCGCAAACATGTAAGCTGTATGATCCGTTAGGTTTAGTAGGGCCGGTAATAACTTCGGCGAAAATTCTAATGCAAAAAATGTGGAGTTCAAGTCTAAAATGGGACGAATCAGTGCCCATGCACATTCATAGGGAATGGGAACGAATAAGATCACAATTGCATATACTCAATGAACTACGAATATCTAGACTAATTGTATCAGGCGAAGGCCAGGTTCAACTACAGCTGCATGGGTTTTGTGATGCAAGTGAGGCGGCGTATGGTGCATGCGTGTATATACGAAAAAGAAACAAGCGAGGAGAAATCACGGTTACCCTAGTTTGCTCCAAATCACGCGTGGCGCCGATGAAAGCATTATCGCTGCCTCGGTTAGAACTATGTGGAGCCGTTTTGCTAGCCAAATTAATGAATCGAGTATTAATAAACCTAAAGTTAAACGTAGCGCAAAAGTTTTACTGGACGGACTCTAAAATTGTATTAGCCTGGATAGACTCCTCCTCTAGAAAATGGCACATATTTGTCGCGAACCGAGTAAGCGAAATACATAATGATTCCACACCTTCCGAATGGGATCACGTAGGAACTAGAGACAATCCCGCAGATCTAATATCGAGGGGTGCTACACCAGAGCAATTAGTGAATTCTAACATTTGGTGGAATGGACCTCAGTGGTTGAAACAAGAGAGAGACGCGTAGCCCGGGGAAGACGTGGAATTATTAACAAACATACCAGAGGAAACAAATTGTAACAGTAGTGGTTACTAGCTGCGATACCGTTATAGAATATAGGAGATTCTTGTCATTGTATAAATTGTTACGAGTAGCAGCATACATGTTAAGATTTATTCACAATATAAGATGTGGCAAGGAAAACCGCAAGCTAGGCACGATAGGCGCCGAAGAAATTAAAATAGCTAAAATAAGGGTAATTATGTTAGTACAATCCGAAAAGTTTTCAGACGAAATAGAAATGTTAAAATCGAGCAAAAAGGTAAGAGAAGTTCAAGACTGATAGTCCTATCACCATTTGTTGACCACAACGGAATCTTAAGAGTGGGTGGAAGGTTGAAGCACGCAGTCCTACCGGAAGAGGTCAAACACCCCACAATCTTACTATCACATCACTATTTTACAAAGCTGGTGATTATACACTACCATGAGAAGTTATTGCATGCTGGAGTCCAGACTACATTAAGTAATATTATAGAAGAATTCTGGCCAATATTTGCAAGGAGTGTAGAGTCAAGGAGATAATACACAAATGTATCCGGTGCCGAAAAGCTAGCCCAAAGCAAGCTGGCAGCTCATGGGACAGTTACCAATGGTCCGAGTTAGCGCAGCAAGACCCTTTCATAATACAGGAGTCGATTATTGTGGCCCCTTCTATACCCGGGACCGTATTAGACGTAACAGTAAGAAATATAAAACCTACGTGGCAGTCTTTATATGCATGTCGGTAAAGGCAGTACACATTGAATTAGTGGAGGATTTGAGCGCAGATTCCTTCATCGCAGCAACAAAGAGATTCATAGCTCGGCGAGGAAAAGTTGCGAACCTATACTCCGACAATGGAATTAATTTCGTCGGAGCAGAACACGAATTACGGCAAGTGTTCGAGACTAACGAATTTAAGAATTCCGTCCAAGAGTATGCAGCTTCCGAACAAATAAAGTGGCATTTTATACCTGCTCGATCCCCTCATTTTGGGGGACTTTGGGAATCGGCGGTGCGGTTATTAAAGTTACATTTGAAACGAACTATAGGGGACGCCTGTTTGACGGTAACGGAGCTGATGACGATATTAATTCAAGTAGAAGCAATGATAAACTCCAGACCTCTGACTCCTTTATCGGACGATTCGAACGACCTAAATGCCTTAACTCCTGGCCACTTCCTAATAGGAGAGTGTCTACAAAGCCACCCGGAGGTGAATCTGGAAGAAATTCCGGTAAACAGATTGTCAAGATGGCAACACGTACAACAACTCAAACAACGATTTTGGATTAGGTGGCAGAAAGAATACCTAAGCACATGTCAGCAGAGAACTAAGTGAAAAACTGACTTCAGGAACGTATTCAAGATCAGACAATTAGTTATGTTAAAGGAGGGTGAAAGCAGACCTTTGAAATGGAAACTCGCCCGAATTTTGGAAATACATCCTGATACTGACGAAATCATAAGAGCGGTGACTGTGAAAACGGAACAGGGTATATATAAAAGAGCTATTGTTAATGTCGCCGATACCAGATTAGCACGAAATATCTATGCATTAATTTCTTTATTTTAAGCATTTAATTTAGATACTATACGGATTGTTATACCGTATAAAAAAAATATATATATATATAACTTGCGTAAGAATAACGGTCATGCTCGAGACTATACTTTAGAAATAAGTTCGTATTGTTTTATTGAAAATATGTAATATTTGTCAAGGCGGGCGGCGTGTTGTGATTGTTAGTTGGTAACTCCTATTTTAGTTAATCACGTTACGCAGGTCGGTAGCTTAGTTATCGATCGTGTTATCGACCGACTGATTACTGTATTTCGACGAGATAGAGCGCCAGCGGTGTGCTCACGCATCCGCGAGTTGCGAACGGCTAGAAGGAGAGATCAAATTTAGCAAGCGTAGAGTAGACACGTATCAGCTTTCAGTGAATAAATTTAATTTCAACTAACCACGTATTACTCAATTTTCCACCTACAACTGCAGTCAACAACAATTATTATACTATCTATCTACAATTATCTTTTATTATTTAGTTTTATTAATTACCATTCCAATTTTAAATTGTTCTTATAGTTTTTCTTACTCTATCTAGCAGCGCCAAGGCTTTTTACATGAAAAATTTTTCTATTTTTAAATTAAACTTTTTCATTTTATACGGTTAATTCTTTAATTTTTTGTGCTAACACTTAAATTGAGCAAGGTAATGCAATTTTGTGATAATGTTTTGTGTAATGTTTTGAAGGAGAAATAAATAATCACTACTTTAGTTGGAAGAGGAAATGTCTTTGAATGAATTGTGATATAATAATTTTATTTAAGAGGAATTTAAACCATTTGGATTGGAATA